TCCCCGCTTTACAGGGTAGTGTGCAAAGTTGCAGCAGGGTGTGGGGCTCTGAGGAGCCTCTGGAGGGATGTCCACTGAGGCACAAGAATATGAACCATTATAATCCTTGGGCCAGCAGGAGAGGGAAGTGGGGTGGGGCACCTGGAAGAATGAGGGTTGTTTTGGAGGAGTGTGGCTAGCCTCAAGTTCACTGAAGAAGGCCATGGTTCTACCAGGGAGCTCCTGTTTCTGAGAGGGTCTGGGGACCTGTGATCTGCATAACCCTGTCAAGCCAACCACAATGCAGTGCCTGATATTCGTTTGTGTGTGATAGGTGACTCTAGGGTCAGCCTGGTGCTGAAGTAGCACATAAAGACTGGTGAAGTCCTGTTTCTGGGTGGTCTGGGGGAGGCTGGCTTGTGAATTGGGAGACAGTGTAAGTAGGCTGTCCTTGATCTAGCGGAGACCATCAGCCAGCTCTGTCAGATCAATCTAAGCATGACAAAGAACTCTATCTGTGCTGGAGCCGGACACTCTTTCCCCCCATTGATCTTGGCCATGAGAGCTCAGGGTTGCCTGGTTGTGGCCCCTGGACTCAAACTGGTGCCTCTATAGGTTCTTAGGCCTTTGGACTCAGACTGAGACTCATACCATTGGCTTCCTGGGTCGAAGGCCTGTGGACTTGGCCTGAGCTGTGCTGCCAGCATCTTGGAGGCTCCATCCTGCAGTTGGCTGGTCAGGGGACTACTCTGCTTCCATAGCCACTGTCAATTCCCATGAGAAATGTCCTCTCCCCTCCCCCACCATCTCTATCTATTCCAACTTCTGATACCTCTGTCTGTCCTGCTAAGTCAAGTCAGAGTCCATAAAAAACTGAAGCTCTGGGACCTGAAATCCCAAACGGAGCACCAAGTCGGGAACACTTGACAAGTCTCACATTAGATACTGAAACTGAAAAAGAGAACACCTTTGTGGCCATTCCTACCCATTCACAGAAGAGGAAACTGAGGTCCAGAGAGGACTGTCACCACAGTCTCTCCAGAAGGTCAAGGGGCTCACACCCCAGAGTGAAATGGATCTTAAAAGTAATTTAGGAAAAATTAGCAATGTTAATTACATCTTTAAAACAATCTCCCCCTCAACCCAATGCTAAGCACAGGTATATGCCTCTGAGCCCGGAAGTAATATTTACTCCATTCCTAAGCATAAGCTAAGAAACAGAAACAGCTCCTTCGTTTCCTGACCATTTCCGACAGCTTCATGTGGCTTAGTGCTAAAAAGCATGGAGGCAAATAAAATGCCAGGGGCCACTGCAAATTGTGTTCAAATTTTTGTGTACATGTTATGTGCTTTGGTAATGCTTGGACTTTCCCATGAATGAGTGTTTTTTGCAGTAAGGACACACCTAGGAAACAGAATGTCTCAATGGTGTCGTGGGCAACCCTGCCTCCAGCATACACTAGACTTGAATTTCCTTGCTGTGCCTTGCAATGTGGCTTTCATGCTTTCTGAATGGATAGGGACTGGGTGTATGTAAGTGGAAGCCCATCGAATGGACTGCTCAGAGCATATTTCAGGTTTTGGGACTTGGTCCCCAGTGTGACATTTTGAGGTACTGGGACCTTTAAGAGGTGGAGCCTGATGGTGGGGGTGGGGGTGGGTTGCTGGAGCACCATATTCCCATTCTAGACACAGGGGACTTTGAAAAAAAATGAAGTTGTTCTGCCCAGATTTACTTGTGTCCTAGAATTACATGGAAACACATAGAGTCCTACATAGAAGAGTATAGAATGAGGCCAGTTACAAACAGAGGCAATCTTGGGTAAGAGCTTTGAAAGGTAAGGCCTAACAATTTTGACAAAATGGTGAGGAAAAAGCATCTGGGAAAGTGGTGTGGGGTTGGGATGGGGCTGGGACACACCTGATTCTTCACACTCGCCAAGAGCCATCTCCCTACACCACATCTGTGTGCTGACTGACTGACAGTTGACAGCTGGGCTGGAAAGCATCACTAGTGAGGCTGCATGGAGAGCACCTCCAGCAGTGAGGGTGGGTACCAAGTAGGGAATCCATCAAATAAAGTAGGATATGCCAGGAGCTGAGAGAGGAGAGCACCAGGTAACTGTTGATATCATTCTTAAACAAACTAACAAACAAACAAAGATGAAGGCTCTACAGTTTGATGTGACCAAGCAGTAGAAGGTCACGAAAGCTGCCATGAAGCCTCCTCCCATGCTCCTGTCCGAGAGGGCACAGACGTCTGGAAGTTGTTCAGAGCCTGAAGCCCGTCTCAGTCTTCAGAGGTGCTGTGCAGCCGGGAACTGAGTTTCTCTAAGTTCCAGGAGCACACAATACTCCAAGGGATGAGTTCCCTTAGCCAGCCTAAGGGCTAGCAATATGACCATAGAGGCATCCTTCAGCTTGCTTGTCCAGCAGGGGCAAGTAAAACTAGTAATCCTACAGGTGCAGAATTAGAAGCCAAAGCATCAATAAGAGACACAACAAAACTATGTAACGATGGCACCTTGAGTCTCAGAATACCACCACAGGGGTTTAACACAGCTTCCATATTATAGATGGGGAAACCGAGGCACAGAGAGTGAGAAGTTAGCCTACTAGCCCAAGATCCTGAAAGGGAGACATGATTCAAACCAGGCCACAGTTTTATGGCTTGCTTAGATGTGGTTTGTCCCCAAAGGTCACACCCTGCTGTGCCAGCGCCATCCCACGGTTGGGGGCCCAGACTGAACAAAAAGGAGACAGTGGCAGAACAGCCACTCGAACTAACAGCCTCCAGCCTACATTGTGTCTGCCTTGCTCCCACAGTCCAAAAAGAAGTTCCTCTCCTGCCTTCCCTCTTTCTCTCTCCAACCCAGAAGTCCCTCCTCCTTCTCGCCCAGTGATTGACTTCTTGTATTTATTATTATAGTCAATTAAGGGAAAATTCTGCTACGAAGACCAGTGGGGTCAGAGATACTTTCAAGACTCATCTGGATAAATCACATATTCTGTCAACAATCCTTTGTAGCCTTAGACTGGGAATTAGACTGTGGGTGCTAGAATGGAGTCGATGTCACTTAGGTTGGCTAGTCCCATATGTGGCATTTCTGACCCCGACTTTTTCAACATACTACTTCACTGACCTCCTGGTTCCCCAGAGATATCTTCATCTCCTCTAGAAACTATCTGGGTGCCCAAAACACTGCATCGTTGACGTTTGGAGTGAGTTGAATTATGGTCCCCTAAAGATCTGCCCATGTCCTTGATCCTGGGTATCTGTGAGCCTGACTTTATATGGCTCAGTTGTTACCACACACAGCCACTGATATAATCCACTTAAGATACCAGAGTGACCAGTCCCCAACTCAGCAATGAGGTGACACATACAAGGTAGAGGGGAGGGCTGTGCTGGACATAGGTTGGAGTGATGTGGTCACACACCAAGCACCGCCTGTTTCACCAAAGCCAGAAGAGGAAGAGGTTCTTCCCGGGAGCCTTCAGAGGGGGTAGGGCCCAGTCCACATCTTGACTGTGGACCTCTGGCCCCCAGTGCTGTGAATACATTTCCATTCTTTTAGAGATGCTAGTTTGTGGGTCATGTGTTACGGGAGTGACAGAAAGTGAATGTGCTGTCTCTGCATTCTTACCACATGGACATACTTCCTTTCCTTGAGCACGCTCCCTGCTCTGACTGTTATATCTCTGGATGCTTTGCCCTTGAAAGGTGTCGGTGTGTCTTGTGCACTTTGTGTTTCTGCTGCCCTTCCTGGGGCTCAGATACAAGCAAAGAAAACCACACAGAAGTAAAGAGCAATCCCCAGGCCAGCAAGTCACAGCATGACCCTGGCTGTTTCTGGGAGAGCCTGATCCTTGGCTGTCTTGGACGGAGGGGGTGTGACCAACCCTATTGCTCCTTGTATGGATCCTGACTCCAGAGTAGGCTAGTGCTGGGAAACAGCTGGAGACAGATGGAGATAAAGCCATCCCTGTGTCTAGGTGGCTTCTAACTCCTTTCTCAGCTGCCAAGAGGACAACTTGATGTCAGACAGGTGTCTTCAAGCCCTTTCCTCTGCCTGGAGAAACCTGGAAAGGCACCCTAGAGGAGACGCTGGTCCCTAGCCAGGCTGACCTGACTTGACTCCAAGGCAGCCTAGACCCTGCCAAAGCCTGGGCAGAGAAGCCGGGGCAGCATCCCCACACCTCCCTTTTGAAGAAGGGACCCTCCTGGAGAGTTTGGAATCTGAACCTATAGGCTGCTCCTGAAGGTTTCTGTTATTCCTCGGGGTCCTCTGGGGGTGGGGGGGGGGAGGATATTTGGAGCCCCAGTAACAACCATGGGGACGTCTAAGTTCTCTGAGGAACAGAATGACTGGTCGCGCACCGGCCCGCAGCCCTTCTCCTTTTGTAGCTTCGCTTCCACATCCAAGTAGTGTTTCCTATCCTGCATCCTGCAAGCAAGGCTTGCTAGAGGTCTGTAAAGTACAGTGGCCTTCATTGGGGTGGCCACGACAGCTGCCTGGGGGTACCGGTCAGCCTAGAACCTCGTTCTCCCTTCTGGGTCTCTGTGCTATCCAGGCGGGCTGCAGCTGTGGTCCGGAGATTGCCACCTTCCCTTCTGCCCTGACCACAGACAGCTTTGGCTAGCCTGCCTCTCCTGCGCAGAAGGATAAGCTCTGAACACCTGTCCTCTTGTTCCCACACTCTAGGCATGCATCCCTAGTGGGACAGCACTACCTCACATCCTGCAACCTCCCTCTTTTTATAGAGACCCGCCCTCATTTTCCTTCCCTCTCTCACCCAGCCTCACACCAAGAGCTACCGAGGTCTAGCACCTACACTGTCCTCTGAAAATCTTTGTCATCCTTCAGAATTCTCAGATCTGATCGACGGTGGGCCGGCACCTTGTCTTCATCCATCTTTGGGGCTCCCTGTCTTCCCAGCATCTCTCCACCCCCCTTCTTCCCTTCCTTCCTCCCAATCGCCCCGCGCTCGGCCGCCGCCCCAGGGTTGCGCAGTCCGTTCGGGTATTCCCCTAGTCAGGCATCGGGAGTCTCAGGTTCTCCTTCCTCTGGTCGGGGCGCGCGCGGGGTCCCCCGGGGACCCCCACCGCAGCCGCGTGCTCCTTTGTGCGACCGATCCGCGCGCGGGCGGTGCTGCGTCAAGGCGGAGGCGCATCGGCGCGGCCCCACGCGCACTCCCGCGCGCGGCCCCCGGGAACGGCAGGAAGGAGGCGGCGCGCGGAGGCGGGAGGCACAGAACCCAATCGCTGATCCCCCGGCCGCGGCGCCGCCTCCCCCATTGCTGTGCGCGGGAGCGGGCGACGCGGAGCCTCGGAACGCGCTTGGAGCCCAGATCTGCCGGAGCCAGGCGTCGGGTGAGTGCAGGTGGCGAGCGGGGCGGGCAGCGGAGAATATCTCAAGCAGAGGGCCGCGGGAAACCCGCAGGAGGCCAGCGCCACCAGACAGGGGACGCGTCCAGAAAGGCTGGGCACGGGTGGCGTTCCCTCACTCGGTCGTAATGCGCCTTGCGGGATGGGAGTCTTTCTATGTCAGTCAATACAAAGCCTGAGACTCTGTTCTGGCTGCGATCGCCGCGTCCCTGCCACCTCTCTGGGGAGATCAGTCGGGGAAGGCGGCCGCGGGGACAGCGGGTGGGTGTGCGGAGTCCTCTTGGCTGTGCCCCGCCCCGGCCGGGCTACCGCTCTCCCTGACCCCCTCGCGGCCCTCCCTCCGCAGGCCGCAGCCTCGTGTTTTTCGCAACCATGGTGAAGTTGGGGAACAATTTCGCAGAGAAGGGCACCAAGCAGCCACTGCTGGAGGATGGCTTCGACACCATTCCTCTGATGACGCCCCTCGATGTCAACCAGCTGCAGTTCCCACCCCCAGATAAGGTATGAGCCCCCGACATTCCCGCGCTGCTGAGTGTGCACCCCTAAATCTTCGGCTGCCAACTGAAACAAAAGAAACGCCTTGTCCGCGTTGAGAGGTGGAGGCGGGCTCAGTCAGGAGGAGGAAGGCAGGGCGAGCACAATGTACCCTCGTCATTATGGGTTTGGTGATGCTGGAGGTCCCCCCCCCCGCCTTATATGACACCTTTGTCTCCTCAGTGGAAGTCCCCTTTTTGATTCGGGGGAGTCTCGTGAGAGCCTTGCTGGTTGGTACCGTAGTCAGGGGGATCAGGAGTGAGCTCAGCGAGCTGGTCCTTGTGCCTTCTTGTTGTGCGAGGTTTCAGCTCCACTTGCCTCACTGGGTGTGTGCTCTCACTCCTCTTTGTTCCTTTTGTGACATCTCCAGATCGGAGCACGAGCTCAGCGATGCTAGTGTAACCAGGACCATCTTTATCCTGATGGTATTTTCCCCCCTTGACTTAAAGACTCCTCTCTTAAATACCGCATCCAGTGGGGTATCATTGCTCCACAAAGCCGTTTTCAAGCCATACCGTTTAAAAGCAATTTTTACCCTTAAAGTAGAAGATAGCATCACCGCACGCTAATGTAAAGCTACACGCCCTGCATCTCCAGTCCCAACACACAAAGGAGCTTGCTCATATTCCCACGTGCTTTCACATTTATTGTCTTCATTTCTTTCCCGATAAAGAGGCTCTGGCTCCAGGCTCTGTGCTCATTGGGCAGCAGTAGAATGGGGTATAGAAGGGACCTGCCATGCCTCTTCAATGGTGACTGATGGGGATCTCTTTCACTCCTAAGCTTAGCTTCCCAAAGTGTTTTCATCCCCCTAATTCTATTGTCTATTTTTTTTGGAGGGTGGGGTGGGGGAGATGGCAAAATGGGAGCAGGGAAGGGGCTGCCAGCAGGTGTTCTCCTTCGGGAAAGGGAGATAAGCTGTTCATACACTGAGTGGCATGAACCTGTGTACCCCGTGCCACAGCTGTTGGTCCAGACTGACCTTCATAGGAGGAACAGGGCTGTTGAGTTTTTGACCTCCACCCTGTGATGGGGTGTCAGGGCTTGGTCCCTATCTCCCGAACCCTCCTGCCTTGATACATGCAGCCAAGGAGCACCAAAAGCCTGTGCCAGGGACTCTGTGTCCTGAAGCAGCACCTCTACCAGCCGATTTCCTCTGCCCGGCCCAAGCATCCTCTTTTGCCCTCAGTGTGTTCCGTTCCAGAACTGCCTGGCATGGTCAGTCACAAGAAGGAGGGCTTCAGGCAGCTCCCACATTCTGCCAGCCAGTCCTGTTGCTCAGGAGTAGGCCAGGTGGCTCTGTAAGGTACTGAGTCTCTCCTCTCTTGCGGTAACTGATGGAGATGCTCCTGAAAAGGGTATTCCTGTGGGAAGAGGCCCTTGAGCTAGAAAAGGCTTCCAAAGTTGCCGAAGAGGAGACAGATTCTCAGAGTTCACCAAATGTACCCAAGGTCATCATGCTGAAGGTCACTGGCCTCCTAGAAGTTTCTAGCTTTGCTGCTTAGTCCACTCTGCTTATAGTTGCACACCTCTCACACCTGACATGATTCAGGGGGCTGGGGGATGATGGGACTTCTGAGAGCCAGCTTTCACCCACCTGAGAATATGCACTGTTGCTGAGGGCTGCCATTCCTATCCCGGACACAGCCTTGCCTGACATCAATTAGATGAACTTGCCACACCAGGCACTGTCCTTTGCACTTCATAGATTAAACGCCAACATGCCCACATCTCTGCGAGGCGCCACTACCATTGCCTTCATTTGACAGACACAGCAACAAAGGGCTAGACTAGAGAGTTTTAACAGCCCCGTCCAAGGTCACCTGTCCGTTAGTGGTAGATATGGTTTGAATTTAGGTAGGCTAAGTGGCTACAGATATTTTCACTCTTACAGTTCCAGATGATATGGGCCTTATAGCCTCCAGGTATGAATAAGACAGGAAGAAGCCTTCTGGACTCAGTGTCAAATGAAGCAGATCCAAACTGTGCTCAAGGTCACAAGGCTACATGGGCACAGCTGGCTTGTGAGGATGGCAGGCCAGTGCTCAGTGCTGCCTTGGAATATGATGTCTTGAAGGGATGGATATCCCCCCATCTACTTCAGGAGAGTGGCATGGCGGAAGTAAAACTTGACAGTATACACTGAAGCTCAGGGCGTTCTGCATCAATGACAGGTATAGGCTTTCACTAAGACCACTCTTGAGGCTGGTTCTACAAGTCATGGCTGGAGTGGAGCGTCCCCCCAGTCACTTGCTTGGGTCTGTCCAGAGTCACTCAGTTCCCCTTGTCCTATTGTCAGGACATTCTAAACCATGGAACAACAAAGGACATTCTCCCTCCAGGAGAAGTGTAGGGGGTGGTTGGTTCTTTCCTAGCCCATAGCCACTGCTGGGTACCTGCTCTAGGGAGTGAGTTTGGGGATTGGAGGTTAGTAACTCCTTGACCTCACTCTCCCTGTCCAAGGGAAAGAGAAAGGCAATGGGTCTCCAACAGGGGCAGAGCTGGGGAGACAAAGATGGGAATGTCCCTGTAGCACGGAGCATGGGTTTCCAGGTTCACATGAGAGAGTGGTGGGGGAAGAAAGAAAGAGACCCTCCACACACACTCTGTAGTCCAAGAGGCTCCCCGAGCAGTTTATTTCCAGGCCCTAGTTCTTGGATACTAGGCAGTTGTGTTCAGGTCTCCCCTATGACATACATGTCCAGCAGGTAGCACAGAAATGACAATAGGAGAGAGTAGAGGTGTCCTCTCCACCCTCTGGGCCAGGGCTCTTCTACAGTGGGTGCTCTGTCTGCCAGCCATTATTCCTGTGGCCTGGGCCAGTGAGCATCACTTCTATGTCCCCATGGTCTGTATTTTCCCTGGGACTGCTATAGGCCATGAATAGGCAATGCCTCTGAAAGTGCCTGCACGGAGAGTTCTCAGTGGAAGCTGATCTCACTGCACGGAGGAACGGTGGGTATCTCTGAACTTGACAGTCCCAGACTCACCTGCTCAAGGCAGATGTGTCTGAACACATCTGGCTTACTGCTGACCATATATCTCTCTGTTTCCTGGCTAAGGTTGTCGTGAAAACTAAGACTGAATATGAACCTGACCGCAAGAAAGGAAAAGCCCGTCCTCCCAAGATAGCCGAGTTCACCGTCAGCATCACAGAGGGTGTCACCGAGAGGTTTAAGGTGAGTGGTCCAGGTTGAGCTGCTGCCCTTAGGCTGAGAGGCATCTGCCAGGCTGCAGAGAGGTCTTCTAGAGGGGCAGAAACAGGATGTGATTCTACTTATCCAGGCTGCACAGATCCAACAGTTTCCAGTCTCAACCGGGTTGCTCTCCATGGATTTTTTTTGTTGTTGTTGTTATTTTTTTAGAGTTTTTCCTTTTTCTTTGCCTTGTCCTCCAAAATAATCAGATATCGTTTATTTTTATAACAGGGAAAACCTACCCATGAACTTCCCTTTAGGCAAAGGCAATACACATGAACAAACATTTGGCAAACATGGAAATAGTTGCCTGACAGTTGCAGGAAGGAAGCAGACAGCCCAAGACACTTATACCTACCTATCCAGGGCAGGGCTCTGTGCCTATGCGAGCTCCTCCAAGGGCTCCCACATGAACAGGGTACCCTCCTACATGCCACCTCATGAGGGTAAGGTACTGCTCATTGGGTTGATCTCCCATATGAACTGGGGTTGGTCTTCAAGCCTGTTGTCTGTAGTTCTTGGGTACTAGACTCTCCTACACTCCACCTCATGGGGTGGGGGAGGGGACTGCAGGCTCGTTGGTCCCAGCTCTCTATGGCAGAGCCATGACCAGAGTCTGTCTGGCTGCAGAACCTGTGTGTTCAACCTCCAATTGTTCTTCACCTTCTTCTACCTCCGGCAATGGCTACCGAAAGGGCTGGAGTGCCAGTGAGCTCTGGTGGGAGGAGCCTTCCTCACAGCAAGGGTGTGTGTCTTCGAAATTGCTATCTGCTGAGGAACAAGCCGGGATGTTGGTATTCTGGCAACCTCAGTGTTCAGGAAAGATGTAAGAGAAGATAAAATAGTGCCTATGGACCAGATTCAAAAGGGTCAGTTGGAAGCCATCCTCAGAACTTAATACGTGGTCTTGGATGAATGGATGGCCATCCACTAGGATGTATGAGCAATCTATTCATGGGTGTGCCGCTACAGACACAGTGTAGGGCACCTATATTATCTCTTGTTTAGTTCTTGGGTGATCATGGGAACTACAGAAGACAGGCTTGGGGAATCAACCCTAGCTCATAGCTGCAAGGGAATCCAGAAAAGCAGAGTGTTTTCATGGAGTTTTTAAATACAAATTCCCTTCTTCCTGTTGCTTCTCACTGTGGTCTGGTTCTTCCTGGTACAATGGGTTCCATGAGTGACACTATCCTCTGTGTCCCTCATGATGCTGGTCAGTGAGTAGTATGGTACCCAGGTATTCACTCCATCTGTTGAGTATCTCTGTGTGCCAGGCTCTGAGGCAGGTCCCCAGGCCCCTTGCTGAAGGCACGGGTGATGCATCTGACTTTTCCAGCCTCCTTCCTCTTCCCTGCTAGGAACAGGTATGATTTTCCAATAGGGGCCTGAGGTGCAGAAGTGCAGATGTCTGTGTCTGCATCCCTGTGGGTATGGAAGGGTGTCAGGTGTGCTGAGCTGCTCTTCCTGGATCAGGGGGTGGCTCTCACCATGTTTGAGGTTCATGGCCAGTATTAAGATGGATTGACTTGAGGTCAGCATCTCTGTTCTATGATGGGATCAGCATAGCTGCCATCTGTTGACATATTTTTGCCCATCGGCATCATGGGTACTTGGGATGAGGTACAGGAGCAGACCTGAATGTCAAAGCTACACTGTCTGAATGTCACCTTGCCTGCACATGTCCTGGTTTCTTGTGTCTGATTGGATTTTTGTCCCCAACACACTTTAGGTCAGAGAGTAGTATAGTAGCCAAATATCCTTTCCATCTGTTGAGTGTCTCTGTGTGTCAGGCTCTGTCCCCTTTGGCGTTCTTGGTTTGTGTTTTTCTCACATGCTCACCTGAGATGGGTCCCTAGGTCCCTTGCCTAAGGCACAAGTGACGCAGATTTGGCCCCAGGGCTCTAGGCAGTCATGGCTGGGCCTCTGCATGGTTACCTGGCTTCTGTTGCCCAGAACCTTAGGGCTCAGAAGACCCAGGAAGGCCTCAGACAGTCTCTACCATTCCAGTGGCAGGCTGCTGGTCTCAGGAGGCCTACCTCACCTCTCGCTTTCTCCCGGGTGTCTGGGAAGATACTGGATACAGTGGGGACCCACTAGAGGATTGCTCTGCACTGCAGTATTGCCTAGTCTCACACACGGCTGTCAGTGTTTCCCCAAGCCTAGCTTCTGTGCCTTCTTTATGACTCACCCCCAGAGGATGGCTGGGACTCCTCTCATCTTGGGTTCTAAAACTTCCATTATGAACTCCCAAGATCTGAGTTCCATCTCCAGGCAGGAATCTGTCCCCCTCTCTCTCCCTTCATACTGAAGCTCCCAGAGATGAGCTTATCCCAAGTTCCTGCTGCTCTCTGCCAGGAGGTGGTGCTTACAGAAGCAAGCTTTTTATCTTGTCGATGCCACAAATGCTTCAGGAAGTAGAATGCTGTCTCTCTCCCCATGTTAATCAGGGGGAGACTGAAACAGAGTGTGAGCTCAGGGAGCCTGTTCTTGGGTTGTGGCATTGGAGAGCACAGGTTTGCAAGGGTGTCATTCACTACACCCCTTTCCTCTGCTGACGTAGACCCCTTCCTACACCTACCACTGCTACCTTGCACCCCACAGACCCAGCTTTCCTAACTGCTCCAGCAGCTGAGCCAGATGGCACCCCTGACAAATGTCCTTTTTCCTCTGATGTCTTGTTTGTGTCACAACTCCCAGCCCCACTCCCCTCCAGTTGTCCTCTTTTAAGAAGCTGGACTAGTCTATGCCTCTCTCTGGGCATGGGCCCTGTGATCTGGTATCCCAAACAGTCACTGAAGAGTTGGTCTCATGAAGCAGAGGCTCATTGACCTGGCTCATGACCTTGAAAAAGGAAACCAGGCCATAGCAGCCCCCTGAGATATGAAGAGTGGCCAAAAATGAAGGTGTAGGGCCTGTATGTACAGACAGCACTTACGAGTAGCCTGTGCCAGCACTGTCAGAGTCCTCGATACCATCTCTCTGGCACTTACCACACTCTCAGTAAGAGCTGGCTAAGTAAATGAGTGACTCAGCCATCATTCTGGTAGGCTCCTATGGAAGGGGGTTGGCATGATTTCTAGGGTGTCCCTGTGGGCTCCTTAACAGCCAGGTAGCTAGCTCAACCCATCTAGCCTTTTTACTGGGCCATAGATGGGTATGTGCTCTCTATAGGGGACTCTTGGACAATTGTCACAGGGCTAGCAGATGACAGTCTTAGTCAGGAAATGGCAGAAGCAGGGTAGGATCCCTGCATCTCAGCTGCAAGGGCTGGCTCCTCTGAGCACAATGAGGTGAGCAGTGTCCTGGGGGCACCGAGGGCCAGCTTAGAGGACTAACCCATGTTCTTAGGGCATCCCTTGCTTTTGTCAGCTCTGAGATGCTTTGAAACTAGAAAGTTAGTTCCTCACATGGACCTGGGAGTTCAACAAGGTTCCACCCAGGCAACATACATTTTAGTCAGCTCTACGGTTGGATTAATGTCTCCTGAGGTTCCGTGCTTTTCTTAATGGGGGTGGGGAGGGACACAGTCTGACACAGCAGCAGAAACATTTGGAGGGCGGGAGTCCTTTAGAGGTGCTAAGATTGTTCACCCTTCTATAAAGTTCTCTTGACCTTTAAGACTTAGTGATATTTTCCATGTCCCTGAGTGCACACATACAATAGGCATGTACTTGCTATGCATACTATCATCAGCTGGCTAAAGGTTGGGGGTCAGTTCTGAATATGGGGGCTTGGGGAAGGAACAGGATATCTGGAATCAGGGACCCACCCTCTGAGTCTCCCACCAGGGATTATTCACGGTGACGGTAGGAACAGCATACCATTCTGACGGTGATAGTTTGGATCTTCTGTATGTGTGTAAATTCAGGGAAGGAGATCCTGCCTTTTAGACCTTGAAGCAGCAGATACGTTGTGTGCACATGTGAGCCTCTTTGTCCTTTATTTGTATTGTTAAGGTGTGCTCATCTCAACTTCAGAGGACACCCTTGAAACAAAGTGTCTTTTTGGATATTACACTGTGGTTATCACAGGAGGGTTAATCTCTTGGCTGCAAGGTTGCTAGGTTGGTTGCTAGGTGACAGCTGGTGCAGGGGTAGGGGGTAGGGTTCATAAGATTGCTACACAGGGATAGCAGGATGAATCACCGTGTGGCAGCCAAAAGCCTAGGCTTCCAACGAGGCTTGAGTCAACAGGGAGAGCAGCCATTTAATTAATCAGAGGTGTTTTTACACTGAGCGTAAATGTAGGCTAAGATGTTGCTCAAGCGAGCTAAACCTAAACACTAAAAAAAAAAAAAAAAAAAAAACCCAAAAAAGCAAAGCTGTGCTTTCCCACGTGTGCAGGTAGTGCGTGATGGGCTGTTGGGCGCTTCTTAATGTCCTGGGAGATGGATGCTCCACAATGAGGCAGACTCAGGGAAGGTTTGGCCAGGTTCTCTTCTGCTCCCTGTGCTTCGTGGCTGCCAGCGTGAAGAAGGCTGTCTTCTGAGTTCCACACGTTCTCCCTTTCCAATCCAGTTAAGGGTTCTGGGGTGGAGCCACAGCCCTCTCTGGCACTACTTTAAGAAATTCTAAGGCCAGCCTTGCACATGGCCTCCTTTCAAGGTCAGTGAAGAGCCGGGAGGCTATCTTAGGAGAGGTCACTTAAGGATGGTCCTCAGAGCCGGCAGCCGACGCTGCAGCGCAGGTGTCCCTTGGCACGCTGCTGCAAACGATGCTGTGGGTGGTTTGTTTCTTTCTCTCTCGTCCTTAATGACCTTGAGCTTCCTGTGTGCCTGCTTTGCACACTCTACACTAATCCCCATGGCAGGTTCTAAGTCACACTTATTAACTGTTTATAAACGGTGATGTAATTTTTCTACATCCAATAGAGTATAGGGGGGTGTCTTCATTCATGGTAGCATTAGAAACTTGTTTAAATACCCTGAGGACCTGCAGCTGGGACCACCCAGACCTGTGGCTGCAGCATCCACAGATTCT